GATCTATACATCATACCGTATGTTGGAGGTCAAACTGAACTCATCCTAGAGAAAGGACATATTAAAAGAGCCAACGCTCTAAGAGGAATGAATGTGAGCACACAGATTATCGTGTCATATTATGGGTGATTTAGACACACTGGTGGCATTTTGTGTAACATCTAGCAACCTGCAGGTCAAAGGGTTGAGGACTGAACATGGGGGAGTATGTGGCTCCGCTGCACACATATCCGATAAATCATTCTGCTACACCGTAATAACACTATTAATATCTCTGATGAGACATGATCACAAACATAAACACATACGCAGTCACAAAATAACACATTTCCCCACTAAACCCTAACACACTGATAAATAATCCTACCTTGAATCTGCAACACCAAGCAGCCCACATATGGTGTAGATTACCCAGCCCTCCCTGCACCAGGCACATCTTTACTGGGGCAGCTGAGCTTGTGCTGCGGAGACTTTTTATGACTTTGTCTTTCTTTTGATTTCAACTTGGACTCCATAGCTGAGTGTATTAACATAAAACCCAGAGATTGAAGAAAGGTTTAAAAGTCAAGTAAAACTTTGAAAGGTGTCCAGTGATGCCGAAGCCCGCATGCAAGCAGTAAAATGCTCTGAAGCAGAGCGTTTTGGCGGCTGGCTCGGCTGGGAGCGAGAATAACACACCTTTGTAATGTAAACTCTGCAGAGCTGAAGAAGGCAGCATGACATGTTTTATTCACATGGCTTTTGCTACTTCAGGGAATCAGCTGTGTACAACAGAGAACTGTGTCCTTACACATAATGGGGAGCACACACACACAGACACACACACACGCACACACACACTCCACTCAAACAGTATTCTGACTCAGTATTCGTGCTAAAAACTGCAGTGTCATAATGTGAAGAAAGCCAGTGACATAGCAGGCATAGGGAAATAGCAATGGAATGGAATGTGTGCGTGTGTGTGTGTGTGTGTGTGTGTGTGTAGTGCAGGTCTTATAAATATAGCTTAAAATCATAATCAGTGATTTTGAAAACAGGGGTTTTAAAACTAAAGTTGAACTTGGTGTTCCCCATAAATCCATAACCCCTAAACACAGCCACACTGCACACACTCCCTAGGACACCTGAATGCTAGTGCAAGAGGTAATTCTTTCTGAACTAAAAGGCAGCATTATTGACAGGCATACAGAGGCACCTCCTTGTCATGAGTGGTTAGACGTTGGTGGTCAGTTGGTTTGTATTACATTTACAGCACATGTGTCATCACAGAGACCAGAGTCTGCCCTTTCAACAGATAATTTATTGACAGCTGCCAGAATCTGAGAAGACCTTCACTGCATATTAGAGCAAAAAAATCACTGACTCACCTTTTATTAAAACATTGCTAGTAATTAGATCAGCTATAACTCACGGTAAGATGCACTCAGCATTTTTACCTCCATTTCTGGCCTCGCATCTCCGTAAGAGAAATTTCCTCTGATGGACAACGTCATAGAAATGAATTAGAACACGTTCAGATTTTTCCTCTGTGGTGTCTCTCTGAAAGCATGATCATCCACAACCTTCACACATGGAACACAGGCACTACCTAATCAACAACAAACATGGAATGCAATTCTCGGCTGGAATGCGGTCCCTGAACACACACAATGTCCCACAAGTGGAATTCTCTTCATTTCTTTTCCTGTGTTTCCTCAGGAACACAACAAGGATGATCCAAATCCACCCTTCATCATTATCAAATCCCAAACACAAGAAAGACCAATACAATGTATTTGATTAGATATGCCTGTAAAGGCCAATTGAGAAACCATATACAGGAGAAACAAGATCACTGCAGGAAAAGGATGAATGAATGAGAGCTTAGATCCAGTAGAAGCATTTTGCAGGCAAATTGGATGAATATTAGATTCCGTGCTCCTCTTGAATATTTGAGCAATCTTTCAGCTGGCTTCAAGAGGTTCTCTTTACAAGAAGTGAGGCATGAGGCATATGCACATGCACATAACTGCAAGATAAGGCATCTCATAGACTCAAGGAGAAAATATCAACTCTCCGACTAAACCCCATAGACTGGAATTTCAGATAGAGCATAATCCCATAGATTACTGAATGTTGAACATCTGTTTTGCATTCGCTGAAATAAAGGTTTTTTTTTTTACACTTAGGTTAAGACTTATTGATACTCAGACTGCCAGCTTGTTGTTCAGTGTGTATTATTATATATAAGTTTTTATGTCAATTTAAAATTCAGTGTGATTCGTTTATACCATTCATTATTCCAGAATATAGAGATGAGAAAACATGAGAGTTAGAGAAGAGCAAATGAGAGGAACAGCAGTATAAATACGTACCGGAGGGGGCGTAGAGTTCTCAGCAGCCTCAGCACACGCAGCATGCCCAAGATCTTAGTGCCACTGTTTGAGATCATAGACACCAGGATGTCAATGACTGAGATGAGCACCAGCATCCCATCCAAAACATTCCAGCTGCTCTTCAGGTATGACTTCTCCCCAAAACACCAGCCCAGGGCCACCACCTTCAGCACACACACACACACACACACACACACACACACACACACAGATGAGCAATCACTAACTGAATTAACCTAGCTCAGGATATATTACATATATATAAAATATACATTATATTATATTATGTAAGGAATAAAACACTATGGGGCATGCTGTAAAATTGGAAAAATAATCCACACCAGGCTGGTGTGATACAGTCCCCAAACAAATAACAGGCCCACTGCGACTCCACAGCTGATTCATTACTCTATAACAGCAAACCCTAAAGTGTTTAATTATTACATTTAATGTTACAAAAAATTTGCAAGAAAAGTGATTTTCTGTTATTGCTTGTCACAGCTATAAACAGTCATTTCCTCCTCAGTCTCTCTTTTTCCTTTCTCCTGAAGATAATAAAACAGTAAAATATCATGCTTGTCATGTTATCGAGAAACTGGAAAGAGCAACGTCACCAGTCCTGAAGACTCTCCCATGGGGGAAAAACCTGCTGACCATTGCAAACTGAAACTGGAGGCTCCTTCCTTAAATGTTACATAAATATCTTCTTACATAAAGATTAACCTATAACAATGATTATAGGTTTTTCTGTATTAAATAACAACACGTTTTCTTAATCAATTTTAATTTTAATTTTATTTTATGTGGAGTGTCTGCCATAAAAGCCCTTGTGAATGAGCTGTTACAATAGAAACAATAATAATAATTCAGACAAGCGCATTAATAGGGCCTTTCGCCCCGCGGGAACGTTTTCATACTACCTGAACTAATTGTGGAACTACCCACTTTTTGGCGTGTTCGCACCTCCGGAACTGGGTGCGGTTTTAGTACCGGACTGCCTTTTTCGAGAACCAAATGAGCTCCTACTCTGGAGCAGCGTCTAACCAGCACAACTGGTACTATCCGTGACGTAAGTAGACGTTGATTGGCCAAACGCGTACGAAAACGCCCTCACCCGCCATGATTTAAAACGCCGTGTAAAACATACTCAGAGTTGCCAACTTAGCGACTTTTTTTTCAAAAAGCGACTAGCGACAAATCTAGCGACTTTTTGGACAAGCCTTAGCAACTTTCCAAATGTCACCAGTACTGTCCTGCGCGAGCACGAGGTCTCGCTTCCCCGCTGCAGTCAGACCCCTCTGGGCGGCTGCTCTGCTCAGTGAGTGGCTGAGAGACGAGCAGCGCATTCCGTTGACCGCACAGCAGCTGACATAGATGTGAATGAACTGCGCATGTGCACGCTGTGTTGCCACAGACCAATCACTTACAAGCTTCTCCTTTGTATTAAATTTGAAAAATTATTGTGACCGTTTATTCTTGCTTATATTACTCACTAACACAGGGCTTCCAGTAACTTCTGGTTAACATGTAGTAAGTTCTGTTCCGTTGACTTACATAAGATATGTAATTGACAACAGCTTTACTGGACATTCGGCTATATATTTATATTAAAACAGTTTGTGAGCACGGATTAGGGGAGAAAATGGTTATGAAGTGCCGACATTACGCAGAATGCAAATACGACGTGACACGTCATTAATATACTAATGACGTATGACGCCATTTAGCGACATTTAGCTACTTTCCATTGAAAATAGTTGGCAACACTGAACATACTGTAGTGTCAACTTATTTCGCAAGTATGGAGAACAGCGATAGCTGGACGGACGCTGAAGTGCAACACAGCTCCGATCACAGCGTCCTCCATCCTCCGGTTGTTTACGTTGTTGTTCTTTGTTTCGTCGCTGTCGACCGGCTTACGTCACTTCCTAGTGCCCACTGTCGGTGCGAATGCAACCCTTTAAATGGTACTGGAAAATAGTTCGCCCAAAATCGCGCAGTACTTTAGTACTGTACATTTAGTTCTGGAACTAAAGCGGTGCGAAAAGCCCTAATATAAACATATCATTGTATGTCACAACCAGAACTACTATCAGAGTCACGTTATTATAGACAATTAATTCACACCTTCTGATTTGAGAATTCAAACACACTGTTGTATGTTGTATGCTATGGTATGGTAAGGTATGGTATTGTATTGTATTGTATATATTATATTATATTATATTATATTATATATGTTAACACATATTAACTCTTTTTTTTAAAAATCAAACTCAAAACTCTCACATCAATGCCGGAAACTGCGTAACACAGAGCGACCTAAAAGCACCACCGCCAACTCCCAGAACAGAGCAGCCTGCAAACATGGCCGCTGAAGACTACAGCACCCAACAGCCATCACAAACTCTCTCATGTTCGCCGTCATTCTGATTGCACACACTAGGACCCAATTACATAATCACTGCCACACTACTTAAGGACACTTAGTTTACACATTCATTGTGAAGTATTTACATTTATGTCATTTGGCAGACGCCCTTATCCAGAGCGACTTACAATTATTTCATACACCTGAGCAGTTGAGGGTTAAGGGCCTTGCTCAAGGGCCCAGCAGTGGCAGCCTGGTCATGCTGGGATTTGAACTCTCAACCATCCGATCAGGAGTCCAACGTCTTAACGTCTTAACCACTGAGCTACCCCTTACACGTATACGCTCACTGTCTCGTACTTGCGATACCAAGCCCTTTGTTATTCTGCGCTAGTGTTCTTGGTCATGACTACGTTTCTGGTTATTTGCTTTATGTCTTTGTCTTTTGCCCAGTTAACTCTGTTTGCACATCGCCTGACTTCTACCTCTATTCCGACTTTGATTCTGCCTCACAGGTTGGATTCATTTGCCTGTTTAAAAATAAAGATTCTTAAACTGCAACTGTCACCATCTCTGCCACCTGAAAAAAAAAAGTCATGTGTATTTTGGCAGAAACTTTACCATAATCTCCTGTTTTAAGTGCATATTTAAAAGATATGTTTCCTAGTTTCTCTTAGGATCTTTGCTGTACTACAATAGCAGTTATGAGCTGAGCCTGTGTAGTAACTTAGTGGCACAGTATGATCTAAGACGAGCTCACAGCAGCAGAGGTAAACAAATCCAGACAAAAAAAATAGGATCAACTCCCCAAAAAAGACTTCCCCAGGAGAAATGCGAACGCTCCTAATGCACTGCACATGAATATATCAAATAACGACATGATCAAACCCTCACCTGAACAAAGGCACGTCAGGCAGAGAGAGCCGCACCCCTGCAGCACCCCTCCCGTCTCCCTCACTCTTTGCCCTAGACACTTTTTGTAAGGCGTTGTTAATTAACCTCCAGTGAGTAAGATTATTCTCTAGCATGATTTTCATTTGAAATCTCTTGAGTGGGCGTGACCTGGCATATAGCAGCTCTCAAAATAGAAAGCCTAGACCTCACTGAATGACACCTGTGAACTTTTCTGGCTTCTCTTGAGAGGTCTTGGCATGTTCATCCATTTCAATGCTAGTGATTTGAATATCTGGCAGACAATCCTTTCTGTGTAGTACTAACAAACGTAGCACTGAGAGTTGAAGGCACATCTTAAAGGTGGACTTAATAGCTGCCTTATCTTGAGTTCGCGTTGCGTATTTTGGAATTTTTAAATTTAGCTATTTGAGGGAAGTTGAAGCCGTCAGAGAGGGAACACTGTTTCAGCCTTTTTCCAAGTATCTATGAATGTCATGAGTGGGACTGCACTGGCCATGCTGATCTAAAGCAGAAATGCATTAAGCATTATTTTAAAAACACTTACATGAGGCAGGGTTCATGCCCCAATCCCCCCCCTCCCCATCAGAGATGACCAATGAGCCCACACCTAAGCAAATGCTGGCGTTACCTCCTACCTTTATTGTCATTTCAGTCACGAAGATGGCTGTGAAGATGTAGTTGGACACCGTCAGGAATATACGCTCCTGTGGAGAGAGCAAGACGAGGAAAGAAAGAGACGTCTTAGTCATTGCAGTATCACACATAATGCAGTCCTCACTGTTTATGTGTGTGAGCATGTGAGCCACATCACACATTAGAGGTGCCTCCTGTGAAGTTAGCTATGGAGCTGTGACTCTGCCCACGCGTAGAGTACTCCAAATGCATTAACATCTCACAGACACACACACAAATACACACACAAACATACAGAAACTGTTCGTGAGAAACTGTTTATCAGACTCAATGGGTAATGTTATTTACCTCAGCAGGTAATGAGGACTATAGTAATCCTACCCCAAAGAAGTCAGTTCCCATATGTAACTTTGCAGGAAATTAATCAAACAGGTTAAATTGGAAATGTACAGTGTAGTTATTAGTGTGAAAAGATGAAAAGAGTAGAAAGTAAACAGGTAAAAATCTGAGCCAGTTGTGTAAACTTTTCTTTCTACTGCTGACAACGCCCTCTGATGCCAAGACCACACTACAGCTCCCTCAGATCTAACAAGCATAGTTAAAATCCTCGACCACTGTATAAGAAAAAAAGAATAAACATGACAGGCCATGATGTTATAGAAAAATAATCAATGATTTTGATACCATCCCAAAGCTAATTTTGATTTTGCAACAACAGCATGTCAAAAAGTGTTTTATTCCTCCACAGCAATTTACCACTGATTATTTTTTTATTCCGCATATTTATATTTGTATACGTAATATTGTGCAATATCCACAAGATAAGTTAGTTTCTGTTATCATTTACGTTACGGCAGCTATAAACAGTCATTCTCTCACAAGTCTCTTTTTTTCTCTTGAAGTTAAGACAAAAACTGCAGCTTGTCACGTTACTGAGAAACTCTAAACTGCTAATTCCTCTGTCCTGAAGACTCTTCTGAGGCAAAAAAAAGTTACTGACTGTTCATGCTCCAGATGCTTTCCATGAATGTTAAATAACAGAAATATTCAACATATCATAAATAACCTTTTTTAAATCCTTTCATTATTATGTGGAGAAGTGATAATGTATTAGAGTGAGTGCATTAATATAAACCTGTGATTTGAATTACAGGTGACACTACAGTCCGAGCCTTCTGAGCAATCAGATTTGAGAATTCACCAGTGCTGTGATACAACGTCTTTATCACAATAACGGAATATCTCTTGATATTGTATATTTCATAAATAATCTCTGATTTATTCATCTATAGTAGTTGCTTTATCCTGGCCAACTGGTCTGCAATAGACTGGGGTATTACGCACATTCAGACCTAGGGGCAATTTAAAGTAGCCAAACAGCCTACCAGCATGTTTTTTGGACACTGGGACGACACCAGAGTACAGTGGGAGAGAATCCACATACACAGGGATAATCACAGCACAGAGAGTAACCTGAGCACAGGATTACACACTGAACCCTGAAGCTGCTAGATCCAGTTATAAAATGGGTTATGTTTCAACACTTGTGTGGGAATGCCTAATTTTTGCTTAATCCCAACAAATTAAGAAATTACTACTTGAAAATGCACTCAACCAAATTTCATAATTTCATATAAACCCTTCTAGAATACGCAGAACATTGCAGTTTATTACACCTTAATCATTTTAAGGTGGTGCGACCGATTGCACGCAACAGACGTCATACAACTTTTAATTAGTTTTCGTTTTTAATTAATAAGTTTTAATTAATAACTTAACTTTTAATTACAAGTTTGTTATTTTCCGCTAGTTGAGAGGAACCCTGTGTGTATAAATTCTTCTCTCCTCAGCCATGCTTCCTCCATGCTCTCAGGTGGAAAATGCATAAAGCAGTCTTGTCAAATACATGTGAAATCATTTCTGACTTGGGACCGTTTGCAGCACTGCCTGAAAGATCGACCCATCTACTGTGGTAAAAAGTGTACAGGCAAATCTCACACTAATTTCTCTCGTGTCAGGTATAAACTGTTTCTTCACTTTGCCCTTCACCAGCCCAGCTTTGTCCTGGATAAAGGCATTGATGATTAGCTCCATGCTCATATTGCTGGCTGATAATCAGATGCTGGCTGTACCCTGCACTGCTTCCGGTAACACTGGTTACTTGGCGTACAATAATGGCTCTAACGTATATTTAAGATTCAGGCTATGCAAAGAGTTGATGGTAAAGAGGAAGGGGTCAGCTGATTTTTTTTTTTTTTTTTCATTTATCATAGCTGTCACAAACTTGGCTCAGGACCTGAGGTCCATACTAAAGGAAACCATATGCAAAGGGATGAGAGACTGTCTTGCTATTTAAACATGGTTTAGGGAAAGAAAAACAGCATTTCGGCAGGAATGTGGCCATCACCATCTCTCCTGCTTATTTATTCTGCTCGTCCTTTTGTGTGAAGCACCAGACCCCACGACTGCGTCTTACAGTGTATACCGAGTGCCTCCGCTCCATACTGTTAGAGATGGTCTCACAGTGACAGCATATCTGCAGCATTTATCTGTCTCTGTTCTGTTGTGAGCATGTTTTCATTCATTACTGGCACACAGTGTTTGCATTTGTGAGTTCATGAATGAGGAAGACCATGCCAGAGCGCTTTATTGCAGGATCCCAAAAATGTCTTGGTCGGTCACCTCCAGCCTTCGTCTATCTGTTAGGGCTTCTAACTGTTGAAATTCTGCTCTCTCCAATACATACGAGCACAGAGTGAGGTACTAAATAAATCTTACTACAATTCCACTTGCTCCACCCCTCCACACCACCCCTCCACCCCAATCTATTCCTTATTACATTAGGTTCTGAAATGGCACACTTGGTGAAAGGCACACACTTTTTACAGGAGGCTCAGGTGTGGAGTCTGATGGCATTTGTTAATATCTAAATGAAAAAAAAGTCCTCATGAAGTATTAATGTCACACACCTAAGCTCAGCGAGCTACCTGTTACTATAAAGAGACTTCATTGTGGGGCTGTGACTGGTATAAGGGCATGAAGAGCAATGTATCCAATTAAAGTGAAAAAGTTCTTGAAATTAAATTGAACATGAGGTGAGACAGACAGCGAGAGAGTTGACGGTGAATACATGTTAATTAGGCATGTCAGTTAAATTTTATTGTCACAATGTTAACAATGATGAACAGTAATGTTATTTTTGACATGAAACATATTTGACTCTTAATAGAGTATGCGTGTAAGAGTAAGAGTAGGTGAAATTCGCCTACGTGCAATCGAGACATTGGCTTGAGCAGCTAGTCATGATTTATTCATCTTCAGCAACCATTTTATTCTGGTCAGGATCACGGTGGATTCGGAGCCTATCTTGGGAAAACCGGGCATGAAGTGGGAAAACACTCAGGATTTAATACCCAGGGTCATGATCTAGCTGCTAAAAAGAAAACTATTGCAAGTATTTGGTAATTGCATGCTTTTAAGCGTAACAACAAGAGGGAGATGGAAAATTTCAATCAAATTTGGATCTACTGTAACTGCCATATATGAAAACCACACATCTTTACATGTATCATCCTGTTACATGCTCCAAGATTCACAGCTAATTTACTATCATGTTTCCCAACTGATATTTCAGGTGAGCCATCCACAAGTCAGATAAAGCCAATCAAAATGCACAGGCTACAAACATGAGAAAGAAGGGATACACAACCAAAATCAGAAACTTCTTTGCCAAGGAATCGGCTCATTATTCAAAGATACAGTATGCTCAACCCATCTG